GTTAATTAGTTTGGTCTATAAAATCAGACGACACAATTTTGTGTAAGAAAGAGCAGTTGATTGGATTATCATGCGGGAAAGATGCGATATTTGTCAAAGTTTTCATGCTCAACTAATAAAAACACACACAACAAGTCGTTAATTACTTTGGGTATATGTTATGGAGAATAGATCAAGTTTCTTTTGAAAGAATGAAAATCTGATAGAGTTCGTATAATATAAGATCAGTACTTCAATGCTTCATTCCAAGCCAATTTGTTGAAATATACATTTGATTTTGGGTCTATGTTAATTGTGGGCCAATGGTCCAATTAAGCTTCATTGACCAAATCTTGTTTGGGCCTAACTTGATCATATTTCTAGACTTTCTTTGGGAATACAAGAAAATCATAACATATCTTATATATTGTTTTAGTGAATTGAATTCTGTGGGATAAGTGTTTGGATACTAATATGAAAATTTTAGAATATTGTAACATAAAAAATTAGAGATTATGTTAGAAACTCGTAAGAAGTTGTACGATACTGACACTGTAGATTTATTCAAGTTTTTGTGCTCATTTATTATGTTTAATGTTTGGTTTTGGGTGAGAAAAACAGGTCATGATAACTATTGTCTAAAAATGATTTTTACCACCAAACAAAATAAAAAACAAATGTAAGACCATCAACAAGCCGAAAGACTCTGAACTTTTTGGGTTGGGCTATATTTTATATTTCAAAATGGCCCATTTTAATTTTCACTAGGTTTATTTTGGGCTTCTCCGATCATAACTAAATATATTTTTTTCTTCAACTACACTGATTCCATGAGTTTATATGACACAGAAAGGTTTCAGCAGGAGTGAAATGACTCATCGTGTGTTGACATGAAAGAGTTTGAAGAAAAGCAGTTCATCGACTTGTTCTGATATGTTGATGAACTCAATAGAGCCTGAAGCAAGTCTGAAATCAAGTGTCTAAAGGAGATGCTAATTGCTAAGCCAAAAATTTAAGTTGAAATATCTAGGGCCAACTAAAAGGATACTTGGTATGGATTATGGATATTGAAAAATTTTCGTCTTAAAAGAATGTTAACACTGTCTCAAGAACACTAATTTGAGAAGGTAAACCATATCCGAAGCCAATCTTCAAACCTCATAGTAAAGAGGAGCTGGAGCTGGCAGTTTCTCCGAGAACTAACGAAAAAACGGAACTGCTAGAAATGGACATAAACCATCAACGAGGTCGAATCGAGGATATTTCTCGGCCAGACAACAATGTGTCACTTCTATACTTTAAAATAAGTTGAAAATTAAAACGGTTACATATAGACATGCCATTCTTACTTTGGTGTTCACGTGACATACTATATTTAATTTTCTTCATACCTTCCAAATCATTCTTAGGGTACATTGATAGATTAATTTATGCCCATAACGAATTAATTAAGTACCAAGCACATGGGGTAGCAGTTAAACCTAATTTGTCCAACTTTTTAATCATTTATTTAAGTCTAAAATACGAATGACTTTATAAGAATGGAGGATTCACAATTATTAATAATTGTTCAAATTTATATTAATTCTTACAAAAATCAGATAATAGAGAATATAAAAATGTGAAAAATTTTCAGACAGGACAATAAACTCAACAAGTGACCGAAGAAAGAATGCTAGTATATAATAGAAATGTTATCTTAACAAAAAAAAATAGAAATTTTATTTCTTTGTATCTACAATCCAATCTTTCTAACAGCAATTTAATTCATTCGAATAATATTAATGTAACTTTCTTTTCAAACGTAAAGAAAACGATGAAAACCAAAAAAGAAAAAGATTGGAAAATGATTAGGGTAGTCGGCAATTGGTCAAGGTCTACTTCACAATAGACATATTTGGATCTTTTTCTAACAAAACATTGAAGACTTTAACCTATTACTCTTTATAAGAAAAATTTTAAAAGAATTTTTAAGTTTGGTTTTTCTCCAATCAATTACTATACTTTTAATTCAAAAATAATATTTTAAATATATTCCACTATATTATTAAGTTTTGACAATGCCCTAAGGCCCCTAACAATGATATATTTCATGATTGTTCATATAAGATATATTTAGTTTTCTAGTGTGATATTGATTTATGTTTCTATGTAACTATAAGAAAATGGTAAATTATCTACTAATAATTAGGTTGAAGTTTAAAAAAAACCCACATTCTTACCTAATTTCCCAAGTCTTAAATATCCTTTTCACCCATTTTAAATCCGAGAATACAAATTACAAAATATGAAAAGGTTACGGGCTTGAAAATACTTGCAAGTTGCAAGTGTAATAGAGACTAAAGAGCATTAAGTTCAAAGAAATTTTGATATATTCGATGAACTTATTTTACACGTTGGAAAACATATAGTAGCTAGAAATGTTGAATTCTATTTTGGCTAGTTGAATTCCAATTAATTTTGGAAGTGATAGGAGAGGAGAGGTAAATCATTTGCGAAACAAGAAAAACAGTAGGAAACTTGCCAGCCCCACCCGTGAAAACATCATCTTTTTGTCGGTCCACTTTCTATGGTGAATATATTTGTCCACGCTCGTTAAAAACATCCCACTAAATCTATATTTTTCATAAGTATGCAAAATAATATGAGGCACATACGATGAAACATATAAGAACTAGTTTGAGTATTTGAAGTTTTTTGAAAAGAAGAAAATAAACATACATTATCTATATAAATTTGAACAATTCTAATGGTTTTTAATACACATATAAATAAGGAAGAAAAAAGAACCTGTAATTGGGTGCATGATCAGCAAATCTTAACTTCTAGGAAATAGCAAACGATTATAGGATAAAGTTACATTATAAAACTAAAGAATACCAAAATATAAGATTTAATTGTCACATTTTAATGAAAAAAAACTAATATATTCATCAATATGACATGTTTCTATTTTATTTGTTAAACGAGTGACATATTCATCGAAAACATATTGCAAAATATTGCAACAGAATTAAAAAGTTTTGAAGATATTTTCTCTTATGAAAGCAAAAAGATCAAAATGTTTTCTAGTAACTAATGTTACTATCTTCTTCGATGTGTCACCACCCGAATCAAATTTCCATTATGTATGTTGTTGACCATGAAATCCGTAACACGATAAGTCACATAAAGCGTTGGAGAAAACTCATGCTACTTTGGATCTCGTGAAACACCATCACCAAATATCTCTAAATCTATTGTAAATTGTTTTTACTTTTTTTTTGCCAAAGTTACTTTTGATATAAACTACTACTACTCTCTTGTCATACCTTAACTTCATTCATTAATGATATTTATATTTTAAGCTGAAAAGAAGAAAAACAAAAGCTATCTACAATGCATAACCTTTTACAACAAAGTATAAACTAATTCAATTTGCTATAGAATTTCCAAAGGTTTAATAGATGGATAATTTAACGAATATATAATTGAAGTCGCCATGATATCTAATGCTAACATAATATCCTAAAAATGATTATTCCAAACACTACCCGCATCCCTCAGATGCAGGACACCTTCTTTTCTTAATCGTTCCCTCCATATTTGTCCATTATTGAGTTTATAAAAACTATAAGAATCCATTTGGAATAGATAATAAGATAATAAATTATTTTTATCAATTCTAAACGCAAACTATGTTTTCACAAAGAGCTACATGCTTTAGCATAAGACACCCATATATAATCTATCAACTTGTTATTCGGACTGATTTGATTCGGACAAAACATTTGTTCTCATGTCAATACGGCTTAGAATTTTCCAGGAAAAGAAAAATGTTGGAACAAATCCGGTTCGACCGGCATTTTGGTCTAATCCAGATATTTCGATCTATACTATAATGGGTCGCTCTTCTCACCGAAAAGAGAAAGTTGTGACACAAAAACTGAAATTACAATATATATATATATCTCAAAAATCAATGTAACTCGTAAAGTCAAGTATATTAAAACGAAAATACTATAAAAAAAATAAAAAAAAATGACGCATGAAATCGTTGAATTGACGATTACACAAATATTTCTCGTTTGTCGGCAGAAATTCCACTGTGTCTCTTTTTTTTTCCTTATCTTAAATATCCCAGTTCCAGTTTTCAAGACAACAAAAAGGTTGGGAGTAAATGGTAAAATGAGACCCACAAATTAAGGATTCAAAGCACTCAAACAAGCCTGAATTGTTTAATTTTATCAATTTTCAAGTACAATAAGTCAATAGCACTTTTCTAAAAATCTTTGCGCTAATCAAGGCTCTTTATTCCTCACTTCTTCTGTTATTTGTATATTGTTTAGGAGTTAATCATGGATGCAACATGTTAAAACGAATGTTACCTAGTGTAATTTTTAAAAACAGTTATTACTGTACACAGTCATTTTTCTGTTATTTTTTAATTCGTTATTTTAAAACTGATTTTTTACTTGAATCCAAATAGGTCTATTTCCTTCCCACGTGAAGCCCACTATAATTAATTCAATATATATATAGTCAATCAAATATCTTTATTAAAGTTTAGGAATATGTATTTTATTGAACACAAAATATGGAGTATTTTCTTCTTCTTCTTCGCACTATTGACAAATTATGAATGTGTTATTGTTTATGGCTCAAATCGGTCGATAGTGAAAGCAAAGAAGGAACAAAAAAGAATGTAACAACAGCCTAAAGATCTTTCTAATAGATCAAACACAAACCCAAAAGAGAAAAATGTGGTCGAGTTTTTCACTACGAAATTAGGAACTCTGAATTAAAAATAGAACACAAAAATAAAAATAAAATTAATCGAAAAAGACACAAATGAAGAAAAACATTAGAGCAGAAGATGTTGCTCTGATTTTATCATCCTCTATACAAACATTTTTTTTTCCTGGAAACCCTAATAATCTCTCTTTTTTCTCTTATTTTCATCGAATAAATCTTCTAGACAATCTTGATCACGCTTAAATCTTTTTGATCTCTGTAAATAATCTATGGACGAAGTCTGGTTTCTGAATTTTCAATCTTTTTTAAGTAATGGAAACGACATCGTTTTGATATTTGGGGTTTACCTCTGAAAGAATTAATAGAAGGGTGGTGGTGGTGGAGAAGCATAGGATACTCCGATAACCGGCGGTAATGGCCCTTCAAATTCAGGTGATGGAGGTGGTGGAGAGCTGTGATGAACTGGCGGTGGCGGCGGAGAACTGTAATGGACTGGCGGTGGCGGCGGAGAACTGTAATGGAATGAAGGTGGAGGAGGAGGAGAGTATTCTATGCAAGGAGGAGGTGGAGGTGGTTCGATACAAGGAGGTGGGGGAGGAGGGGAATAATGTGGAGGCGGTGGTGAGTGATGCGGTGGAGGTGGGGATGAGTATGTATAAGTTGGTGGAGGCGGTGAGTGATGTGGTGGAGGTGGTGAGCTGTAGTGGTAAGGTGGAGGCGGTGAGTGATGCGGTGGTGGTGGTGAGTTGTAGTGGTAAGGTGGAGGCGGTGAGTGATGTGGTGGTGGTGGCGAGCTGTAGTGGTAAGGTGGAGGCGGTGAGTGATGTGGTGGTGGTGGTGAGCTGTAGTAGTAAGGTGGAGGAGGTGAGTGATGTGGCGGTGGTGGAGAAGAGTAATGTGGCGGCGGTGGAGGTGAGTAGTGTGGTGGTGGGGGAGGTGAGGGACACGGCGGTGGTGGAGGACGGACGCAATAAATTGGAGCTGGTGGTGGTGGAGATGGATGTACTGGCGGTGGTGGTGGAGGGGATGAGTAGACTGGTGGCGGTGGAGGAGGTGGCGGAGGAGGAGAATAGACTGGCGGTGGCGGTGGTGGTGGTGGAGGAGGGGGAGAGTAGACTGGTGGTGGTGGAGGCGGAGGTGGAGGTGGAGAATAAACTGGTGGTGGTGGGGGAACTGGTGGTGGTGGGGGAGGCGGCGGTGGTGGTGGAGGTGGAGAATAAACTGGTGGTGGTGGAGGCGGCGGTGGTGGTGGAGGAGGTGGAGAGTAGACTGGTGGAGGCGGCGGTGGTGGAGGAGGCGGCGGAGGAGGAGAGTAGACTGGTGGAGGAGGAGGCGGCGGTGGCGGTGGTGGGGGAGGAGAGTAGACAGGGGGCGGCGGTGGAGGAGAGTATACAGGAGGTGATGGCGGAGGAGAAAAGACAGGAGGTGACGGCGGAGGAGAGTAGACAGTTGGAGGTAACGGCGGAGATGGCGGAGGAGGCGGCGGTAATGCTACAATAGGAGGAGACGGTTTAACAGAACGACCACAACCAAAAGATCCACAATCCACCGGCGGGCGTGACAAGAAAGCTGAACATTGCCGTGAAGATCTCTGAGCAGGTCTTCCAGGCAAACAATTTCTCCGATCATCAAACTCAGGCAACCTCAAACACACAGGAGCTTCACCAGTAAAGAAATTATAACTATAAGTGAAATTCTCAAGCTTCGGAAGCTGACAAATACTCGCCGGAATCTTCCCAGACAACAAATTATGAGCCACATTCAACTGCTCAACCGCCACCATACCACCAACACTCTCCGGCAACGGACCAACAAGCTCATTAAAACTAACATCAAACACCGTCACGTTCTTCAACCTTCCGATATCCGCCGGTAAACAAGAATTCAAACCATTATTCATGAAAATAATCTCATTAAGATTCTTCATCTCCACCAAACTCGTCGGAATACAACCATGGAAATGATTATTCGCAAGAACAATAACCGAAACCGGAGAATCACCGAAATTATCCGGTAACTCAAACCGGAACCGGTTATGGTTAATGAAAATCGCATCTAGATGTTTACTAAAAAGCTCTTTCGGTACAGTTCCTTCAAACTCATTAAACCGGAGATCTAAGAACTTCAACGACGGCAAATGAAGAACCACCGTCGGAAACTTTCCGGCGAATCGATTGTTACTAAGATCAAGCTCGAACAAAAGCTTAAGCTGCTTGAACTTATGAGGAACAGTTCCACAAAATCGATTCGAATTAACATGAAACAAAGCTAGATCTGTTAACAAACCAAGCTCTTCAGGTAAATACCCAGCGATATCGGCGTGATTGAGATCGATTCCAGCGACGGTACGGATCTTCCGGTTATCAAGAGCTCGTGAACAGAAAACTCCGGTGTAGTTACAGACATTGGATCCGATCCAATTAACAGTGATATTATTAGGATCAGAGAGAATAGCTTGTTTCCAAGCTTGAAGAGCTATGTAAGCACTTCGAAGTCGTGGATTCTCGAAGATTAGTGATGGATCTACGGTTACTTTCTCACCGCGGTCACCGAACTCGTCGCGGTAGTAGAGAAGTTGACGGCGTTGGATGAATCTGACTTCGGTGTCGGAGAGACGAGCATTGGATGAGATCGAAAGAGAATGAGAGATTTCGGTGACGGAGAAGAAGAAGAAGAGAAGGAGGAGGAGAGATTGAGTGGTGTTGTTCTTCATTTCACTATACGATACATCTGCGAGAGGAGTGGCAGAGGTTTGAAAATTCGAAGGAGGAAGAAGGGTAAAACGGGAAATGAAAAAGTTGGGAGAGGTTTGTGTGAGGGAGAGAGAGAGTGAGTGTGGGGATTTAAATGAAAGAGAAGACAGCTCAAACACAGCTCAGGCCTACACTTATTCGTTTTTTTTTTTTTTTTGAAATATTTTGTTATTATTTGATTAATGTTTTATGAAAAAATATAAAATAAAGATATAAAAATTCGATTTTTTGTGTTTGCTTTTGGAATGGAGCGTCTTCGTAGTTTGCAAAGTATACGTTATATACTTTTTTTTTTTAAATTTAAAAAAATGGGTCAATCTTAAGCTGCTCAGTTTTTATTTTATGATATTTGTTTCTTCACCAAATCACTTATAATATAAGCCCATTATGAGATATATATCAACTTTAGAAGTTAAAGTTGTGGTACCATTTTTTCATCAATTATTTGTAGGTCACCATCTTTTTAAATAAAAGATTTTATTTAGAAAATAAGAAGAATTTAAGTGAATAAAGGTTTACAACTTAAATCGGTTTATAAAAAAATTTCACAAATATATATACTACTTTTTTAGTTGTTTAAAAGTTCGAAATCATGTTCGAAGTGTGACAAATTGACTCAATTTATTTTCAGAGTTGAGATATATAGCATGAACCTTAAATAGTAATACCATTCTAATTCTTGGAGATTTGTAAAGATATGAAGTATAAAGAAAAATACTTTCGAATAATTGAGTATAAATTGTATAATGTAAAAGAGTTAAAAAGGAAATTTATCCCTGTGGCTGTAAGTGTTACAAGAAATTAGAATACTTAGAAAGTGACATGAGAATTAGATCAAAACGAGATAGAAGTACATCCATTCATGTTTACTAAGCATCCGAATTCGAGAACAAATTTTCTAAGGAGGATAAAATTATCATATACAATTTTAAAAAATTGAAGAAATTTTTAGACTTTAGAATAAATAGTTTATCGACTTTAGAACAACTATAAATATATTTATAGTTATTTGGACAATGTATTGGGTTTTGGTATTTTAGATTTCACCTATATTGATCGGTTTTCGTCGACTAATTTTATCATGAATTTTTACCAAGGCGAATCCAATGATATTGTGCTCTGTTTTGAAAAATCAAATATTCTATGTGAAATTGATTGAGTCTAGGCTGCTAATCAATAGGAATCAATCATTTTGGGAGCATAGTTAAAACTTATAAGTTAGAGAAGTTATATATATTTTTCACTTCTCAATTTATATATTTGTCAAAATGAGAAGTTGATCTATATTTTCACTTCTCTTTAAAACTTCGAAAACCATTGAAGAGGAATATACAAACAACACTTTTTTTTTATGTTAGTTATAGACAGAACACATTATGCCTTTTAAATCCACATTATAGTCCCAAAAGAAGATAGAGTGTTGATTATGGGCTAAAGATGTCTTTAGCAAAAAGTATTATTGTGCATAGTTTTGGCTTTTCTTTATTTGTTTCTCGTGTTTATCATCATCAGTGGTTCTCATTGTCCACCACTAGCTCTTTCCTCTTAATTCATATTTGGTATATATGGTCAAAGGTCTGATAATTTCGACGCTAAATAAAGAAGAAAGAAATTGCCAGCTTTTAAACCTTGGATATGAGAAAAATCAATATCAACAAATTCTACAGAAACAGACATAATGTCAATACTAAAATTAATTATCATTAATTAGTGTTTGGTGTATCCTACTTCTTCTTTTTATTAAATAACAACTTATAATAAAAGAAGCAGTTACATAATAATTATGCAAAAAAATAAAATAAAAAGTAGAGGTGGTTAAGGGAAGAGTCGGTGGTTCTCTTGATCGTATCGGTTGTGATCGTGAAGCTATTTACACTTTAATTTAATGTCATTTGGCCGTTGCCGGTAACAATTTAGTGAATTTTTTTATTTTTGATTTCCAACATTTAATTTTCTCTATCACGGGTTTATTTATTTAGGTCTTTGTTCTAGAAATTATTATTGTTATTATTCAGAAGATGTCGATTATTTCTACGTCAAAGTATGGCTGCTTTGGACGTATGTGCATTCACAAGATGATTTAGAAGGGATAACAACAATTAGATAACTATTATGCAATTGGTTATTTGTTATGATACAATATATTATAAGGTTGGTGTGGTGTCTCTAGTCATTTAGATTTTAGGTTAATAATAACTAAGATATTATTGGTAGCTAGTGGATAATTCGTTTAAATCATTTTCATAAAATTCCTTCCATTTGTCATTACAAAACCTAATACTTATTAAATTAAATTACATATCATTGATGGCCACAGCATACCTAAGTGCCGAGAATCCATGCACATTGATAGATTAATAGTTTATGTGAAACAAATGTTGTATGTAAAATATGTTTAAAAATTTTCTATGTTAAGAGTAGTCTAGTTAGAAAACTAATTTCATTATATGTTAAAATCCATTACTGTTTTGGTAAGTTGAGCGGGAGACAAACCGCTATTTATTATAAAAAAAAAGAACAATTATACATGAACATTTCGCGGGCGTGAAGCTGCCTCTATGTCCTCCAACATAATCGAAAGAACAACATTCAGACTATCATCTAACATATAAAAGCCTAATGGTAAAGTAAACACATAGTTAGTTAATCCATCCGAGAGACGATCAGCTTCCTATATACATGTGAAATTCGGATTATCTAGTTTCTTGATAAGAAATCATAACACAGACGTATTAGGAAAGACAACGGATGAGATTCCCCTATCTATGTCATAAGAAAATGTCTAACGTGATAAAAAAAAGTTTGGACGGAAAAAATTGGCATCATATTTATTTGTAGTTCTCGATCCTAGATTATGCTAGCAAAACAAGCATATTCGACTGATTACAGTAAGTCAGTAATGATTGTTCATGTACTGTTTTGGGGGATTTTGTGTGATGTGTCATCATCATCTATCAGTTTTCCATTAGATGGTGAAAGCTTGTTTTTGGTGGTTTTAAAATCTTTCGAAAAAAAAAAGATATTTCGAAACATATTGATGCCAAAGATCAATTTTTGGTAAACATTTTGTGAGTTCAACACCCATGTATAACAATCTGAATGATTAATGCCTATTAGCCTAGATTTACCCTAATAATAACATCTACTTTGTAAATTACTAAAGATTAATCAAATTTCTGCACTATCACATAATGTATGGTGATTACGATTTCACGGCAGAACTTTGGCAAGGAGCACTATAAAATTAAGTCAGCAGAATTATGATTTCATAAAAGATATTTAGAAGTAAAACACTGTTTTAAAACCCCAAACACACTATTATTAAACCCATACAACATTTTCGAATCTTTTATTCATTCTATATTTGTATATCTTACAAAAGGATGGATACAAATAATTTGATAACCGACTCCATTAAAGTTTTAATTAGAATAAATTATAAGAATTCGTGACACCTAACAGCCTAACTACCAGGTTTTATAAATCATTAGATGTTAGAAAAAGAACCAAACGAATCACTTTTAGTAGTAATCAAAAGATTACTTTGTCTAATTAAAATTTGCTTTTGGAGCTTTTTCTTAGTTATTGCCGCAATGAAGCAAACCGTGTGGGGACTTTTTGCCACATCAGATTTATGTTCTCATAGACCAGCGGGATGTTCGAGGCTTTTAGCTCGCCGACATGTGTCAAATTTTTGAATAGTCAATGTTACTTTAACGAAACCGTTGTTACTGTAAAAAAATAAACATATGCTTCTTTTACTTTTGCATAACACATCGAATTTACTAGCGTAATACATTTACTCGATGTCCATACTCCATAATACATCATCATGTAAAAGTAAAACATTCGTATCGTTCACAAACAAAGAAAAAGTTCGTGTTTTTTTTTTTTTTGTATTTTGATCTGGGCAAAATTATGAAACGATAATTCTATACATATCATATCCGATTAACTTGTTTTTAATTAAAACGAGAATTTAAATAAAGTTTTGCATTTTAAAAAGAAAGAAAATATGTATGAACTGTAACATCGATCTTATGATAGTATGTGCATGATTCTCCATCGGATAATTAAAAAGAATAAGATATAGATAATTAAAACTTGTTCACATATATATATATATATATATATATATATATATATATATATATATATATATATATATATATATATTCTAGTTTATCTAATTAATTATTCTTTTTTTTTTTTTTGCATTCAAATAGCTTAAGTAGACTAGGGATCAGGGACTACTTTAGCCAAGATAGCTGATGAATAATCTAAAAGAGATCCTTTTTTTCGTGCCAAGAGGAGCATATTTTCGTCACTCCCAAAAGAAAATTGTAAGAACATATATTTTGAATTTGTTTTTTTAACAAGTCATATGTTTTTATGTTGAAAACAATGTGAAGGAATTTAAGTCATAAGTGAGCCGAGACGTATATAAAACATTCAAACTAGTTTAAGAACTAAGAAGTATATATATCTCGTTACTCACAAATTTTGTATTCTGACACTTTTTTCTTGTGGGCCAAAAGGTCCCATGAATAATGCAAACTTCACTAATTCACGAGATCGTGTCTCCATATGAAGGAATTATACAAGTTATTCAACAATATAAAATATTGAAAAAGATGAAAGTGTTGCACTAAAAATCATTCGTTGATGATTGATGAAGGAGCTTAGTATGGAGGATCTAGAGTGAACCATACAATTATACAAATATCTTTGATTATTTTTATCAGATTTTTACGTATTGTATATGTTTGGAAACTGGCCAGTAATATGCATATTCTTCTCCATGCATGGAGAAACATATAGAACTCACACCTTAGCTTATATGAAAAGTAACTACTATTTTCTCCTCACAAATCTCGCATCACTTCTTAAAGTAAAGCTACAATGATGTTAAATACATAGTCTTTTGTAGTGCAACTACTTTTTTTTACTATTCAAACATTCATTTAATTTTCTTTTAAAAAAACAAGTACTTCTAGTTACTATTAAAACCTAATTTGTACTTTTGAATCTAGGTTATCGAGCTTCTCTTGTTAAGCCAACAATGCCCTGCTATTAATTGTTATCATGAAATTTAGAATCTACATTCGTTCTTCTAACATATTTTTCTGCCATTTTCAATTTAAAGAAAAAGAACAAAAAAAAAGTATTCTCTGCTTATTCTTGTTAGTGTATTTATAAGTAAGATAGTGTTCCTTGTTGGAGAGACTAGATGGTCTTCCATGAGTACCATGCATAAGATTTCAAACACTCTTGGGAAATTCGACCTGTGTATATTTGACGCTATTGTTTCCCCAACATTACCGGGATCTTGTAATGGATGAGACGTCCACAAACCTTTCTTATTTGTAATGTATTATGATTGACAAAAAAAAAACATTCCTTGTTGTTTTTTTTTGTGTGCACCAAAGTGTTCATTATTCAAATCACTGTGTGAATACTAGACTATCTCTGTGTTCTTGTTGTTCTTACACTCTAGCTATCTCTGTATTTTTTTCACCAACTAATCATAAAACTTTAGAAATTTGGCAAAAATACTTAAAATAAAGACTTTGTGTTCTTGTTGTTCTTCATAACCGTATGTAACACTCTGTGCTCTGAAAGCCTCTACCAGTAACTCGACCAGACCATCCGAAACCGTTTTTCTTCCAACCAAGGGACCAAAGTGTCCTGTCAATTTTTCTTTATAATTTTGGTTAAATTTAATATCCTTTATAACGATCTCTTTTGTTCTCCATCGAATAACTTTTTCTATTTCGAATCTCATGTAACTCAAACTGTGGTTTACAACTTTTTGGCTAAAATTTAATTTTAACACTAGACTAATACTTCATAATTCATTAACTAAACTAAATTTCTATTTTCAAAAAGAGAAATTCTCAATAAAGCATCTTGCTTTCGTAGGAATCACCGAAGATGCTTTTGGACTATATATTTGTCAAATCAATAAAATAAAGAAACAAAAAGATTAAGAAATAAATGCTCAAAGCTTCAAAGTAAAGACTAAAGACAAAAAAATTGGTGAAAGCAAAATAGTTGGCATTGGAGTGAGCGAACGTAACCACTCATAACGCGTTTGAAAGAGATTGTTGTAATGACTTAAGAAACTTCGTAACGGTTTTAAGATCACTCATTGACTCTCTCTCCGTCTACACTTATGTTTTGACGCGACCTTCCAACCATAAATTACTAATTTCATTTTTATTTTCACTTCATCGATATCTTGTGACATGTAAATATGATTGGCTTATCAAAAATCTTCATACTAATTTTCATGTTTGTTCTCATCTCTCTCCCAAGATATCTGTTAGGAGCCTAGGACCGTTACTTCACTTTTATTGTTTTCATGTGGAAGAACTAAAAAATATCATTGTTGTGTTTTTTTTTTAATAAAGAACACTATTTTGTTGTTGTTGATGTTGATTGTGTATAATATACTAAAGAACAATGACTATGTAACTCAAATATTTAGCTCAACCGTTTTATAAAGAAAATATATGAGCTTAAACTTTTGTGTTGCTTTACAAGTATTAGGTAATTATGAGATGTCACCATTAAAAAAACGTTTTATGAATTTACATTAAAGAAAAACAACTGAAAAGTTAAAACTATATTAACACATACTCTCTACCTACTGAATTTTCTAAAACAATTTGTTATATTTGATATGAAGAAAGTTGATTATACATCGTGTTCACTACAAGAAATACAGCGTTTTCCTACGGCCAAAATCGTAGGAAATTGGTAGGAAGCAGACGTTTCCTACCAATTCCCTACGAAAAATATTTGAAGGGAATCGCCCGTAGGAAACAGATTTTGGTAGGAAATTCGTGGGAAAATTCCTACGAAACAAGTTAGTAGGAGAACGCGTAGGAAATTTCGTAGGAAATTGGTAGGGTCCATTTTACCCTTTTCCTTCCACATTTTCGTAGGAACTTTAATTAGTCCTACTACTTTCCTACGAAATATTCCTCATGACTTACCTACCAAATTTTCGTAGGAAAAATAATTAACCCTTCAACTTTCCTACGAAATATTTCTCACGAATTACCTACCAATATATTTTTTCCATTTTCCTACGATATATCTCTTTCCAGTTTCCTACCATTATCTTTCGAAGTTTTAGAGACTATTTTATTAAAATTATTTATATTTATTTGTTCCAATTTTTTGTTTTAATGAAGAAATTAAATTTAAAATTCAGAAGAAACTTAAAATTAAATTTAAAACTAAACTCCATACAATTAAAATTCATTGTACAATAATACAAATGATTAAATCCTAATCATCTACTCTTGAGTCTCGTCGTCGTCGTCGTCGTCATCGTCATCTACGTTCGTCGCCTTCGTTGTCTCATCCGGGCCAGTCGTCGTCTTCGTTGTCTCATTCGGGCCTCTCGGATAAAGCGGTGGTTGAATTTGTGATAATTGTTGGAGCATGAGCTTGTTGCATTCCATAAGATATGCGAGTTGGCGTTCCTTCTCGACGTCACGATCCATGAGTGTTTGAATCTTTTCAAGTAACTTCGCGGTGTGGCGTGGAGCTGTGGAAGTCGATCCTTCATCAAACAATCTACCGAACCCATAGCGCTTTCCTTTCACTATAGGAACTTCCTGAAAATAACAAGCAAAACATAATTACTATAAGAACACACTAACACCATAAACAAAGTGGACACTATAACATAATTTAACTTACTTCCAACATGACAGTGTTAATCTCCTCTTCCGTGTAAGTGTTAGACTGAACCGAGTCATCTCCTTCAGCTTGGCGTTGCGAATTTGTCAGCTGTAACTTCCTTTTAACTCCATCAAGAATCTGTTTTGTCTTCAAATCGCTAATTGTACGCGTCTTCTTATTTGTATGAGTTTCTTCCATGAAGTGAAGCATATTAGGCTCCTTCCCGAGTTCTGTAGTCTACTATCAAGTGAAGAAGTCAGAAACTAGTAAAGTGATTTGAATTAGACAAGACTTGAATTAGACATGTTGAAAAAAAAAACAGACTTGAATTAGACAAGAACTGAAGAAGTCTGAAACTAGTAAAGTGATTAAAAACATGTTGAAAAAAAATCAGACTTGAAGTAGACAAGAATTAAAGAATAGAATTTTAAGCTGAACATAGCAAGTACTTGAGAAACAGGACCAGACTCTTACAAATGAGTCAGGAACAGAAGCAAACACATAAGAAAGTATGAACTAGACCAGACCCGTAGACATCAAAAATATAACCAAACCTTAAGAAATTATGAACAAAACCAGACCCGTTAACCAAACCTTAACAAAGTTAACTTGTTCAAAATAATCTTATATCATTCAAGAACCTACAAGAGAGATAATATATCATTGAAGAACCTACTAGAGAGGAAAAAAACAGACTTGAACAAAAAAGACAGACTTGGAAAAAAAATTATGTCTTTCACAGAAACATAGCCAAGAGAGAAACTCTTCTAGTAAGGTTACAAGAAGACAACACACACAAACAAGCTATTCAAGGATAATCTCATCAAAATAACAGACTTGAACAAAAAACAGATTTGAAAAAAAACAGACTTGAAAAATAAAGAGACTTGAAAAAAAAAATCTTTTGAATATCAAGTTAAAAAAAAAAAAAAAACTTAACCTTCAAAGGACATGCTTTGCAATAACGAATACAGAATCTTACCATTTCATCATACTTCCTTTCAAAAGTTTTTGAACCGTTGTTGTGTTTTGCGACCCCTAACCCTCCTCTTTCGCTACTCCGATTCTTAGAATTTTTGGCTGCGGTCTTTTCTACTTTTTCATCTGTCCACAATTTGATGTAACCTTCAAACAGAGCTTTCTTCGCCTTCATCCAATCTGGCAGGCCATCAGGACCACATCTCTTCCACACCTTCTTCCACTCACTGACATTTGATTTAAAACTTAGTCCTGCTTGCTTCTCATACTCAGTTCGAACAGATTCACCTATGCTTGAGTCCCAGTGGAACTCTTGCTGTCATAGATAATGTGTCTAATTATAAACTTGACTTCAAATAAACTTGACTGCAAATAAAAACTTGAATGCAAATAAAAGCTTTACAATATACAAAGACGCTTACCGCAAAAGCTCTGAACCATCGGTTCTTGATTTGTTGTGGGACAGATCGATATGTAGGATATGGTTTTGGGAGATCTGCTTTAAGCATCTTCAGAATTTGCTTTGTTATCTTACCAGTATTGTCATGTCTAAACCTACAATGATGTATTCTGCGTAAGTCAGTCTATATAATCTGAACAGAGAGATCAAGTGTAGAATGTACCAAATGTTGCTTCCTTCCCTGTCCATACTGAGGTAGGGCAGGTTTTGTCGGCCTGGAGCAGCTAACAAGTCATCCACCGATGCTAACGTGCATACAACTGATTCTTCTGACTCGGGTCCGTCATCATCTGCCAGTCTCTCTTCATATCTACCTGGTTCATGTGGATTTGGCTGCGACTGCGACTGCGACATGTTTAAGCGCTCCTGCTCGGACATCCAACGCTCATACTCATTCCTTATATTCTCCTGTATATTGAAAAAGAGATGAAAAACTTCTTGTTCTTATGTGGGTATGAACTTAGATACAAAAAACATAAGCGGAGTTTAATTTGAAATCAGAAACTAATGTTGTAGATATACCGTAAATAGAGGATACGGCGGTGGGGTAAAACGATAGTTTGATGGGTTTGAGTGACTCTTCTTCTTCTTCTTCTTCTGGGACATTGGTTGTCTCGGGTCTGCCATGAAAATTCTTAAAAACTGAATGGAGATTGAGCCTCTGCGGACGATAGATGTGGAGGAGAGACAAGTTCAACTCTCTCTAGAACAAGAAAATCCTCCTAAATTGTTTACCCCAGACCACATCATGTTTCAATAACCAGCAAAAAGACACCAATTCACTTCAGATTCGGACAATTAACTACGAAAATCTTATAAAGGAACAAACTTTATTAGACCCAGTTACCTCGTAAGCCGTAGTCTGACCTCCGGTTTGGAAGATTCCGGCGACTTCAAAGATGCTTCTCTCTCACACTCCTCAGATCTTCGAGGTTCCCAAAAGTGAAAAAGAAAAGTGAGAAACTTGTAACTAGGATTCAAAAAGGAGAAGAAGAAGGAGAAGAAGAAGAAGAAGAAGAAGAAGAAGAAGAAATTGCGAAGAAGGAGAAGAAATGCAAGTGTTTAACTTCTTCTTCAGTAAGCCATCGTTTAGCTGGTAACCCACTTAAACGTCCAATTTGTGAAAAGATCTCTGGTACTGGGGTTAAGTATTCTCGTTTCTCTCCTCCGTCATCGTAACGACTAGGTTTTCTGCTTTTCGTTTGAACACTTTGTCCAAAGTAGGCCGCTGAGAAGTTGGATCTTTCTTCATTTAGGCTTTGGGCGACAATAGATCCTTCCACTTTGCTTAAATTTTTCACCTTTTTTTTTAGATGGTACATGAATCTTTCAAACGGATACATCCATCTATACTGAACAGGGCCACCAAGTTCTGCCTCTCGAGGAAGATGGATGGGAAGATGCTCCATTACATCAAAAAAAGACGGTGGAAATACTTTTTCAAGATTGCAAAGAAGAACAGGAATGTTGTCAGATAACTGTCGAATTCCATCAGCTGTAAGGGATCTTGTACATAGGTCCCGGAAGAAAGCACTAATTCCTGCAATTAAGACCAGAAACTATACATTAATATGTGAAAATAATTATGTATAAAAGACACTCAAAAACATAATAATGGTTACCTGCAATAGCTTCATGTTCGTTTTTCGGAAGGAGCTCCAGAAATGCAAATGGAAGTAAGCGTTGCATAAAAACATGACAATCATGACTCTTCATCCCTGATAATCGACCTTCTTGGCTATCAACGCAATTTATTAAGTTAGAAGCATAACCGTCTGGAAATTTAACTTTTCGAACAATCCAACTAAAAAACGCATCCTTTGCATCTCCTGCTAATCTGAAAGTAGGTATTGGACCTTTTCCGTTTGGTAAGACGTGGAGAGAAGGGCGGTTGCAGATGTAAGGCAAGTCTAATCTTGATTTCAAATTGTCCTTCGTCTTCCCAGGTACATTTAAAACTGTATTGATAAGGTTGTCAAAGACATTCTTCTCAATATGCATGACATCAAGATTATGTCGCAGTAAAAGATCTTTCCAATAAGGTAATTCCCAGAATATACTATGTTTGTGCCAATTGTGGTACTCTCCATAACCGTCTACCGGGATATGCACACTTCCACCGCAATATGTTGTCTTCTCGGCACCGAAATCTCGTAGTTGCTCCAAAAGATTATGACCATCTAACTCAGGCGGTGGATCGTCTTCAACAACTCTATTCTTCTTAAACATCCTTTTGTTACGACGATATGGATGCGAGGATGGTAAGAACCGTCTGTGACAATCAAACCAACTTGTCTTCCTTCCATGTTTTAACTGAAATGCATCAGTACTATCCTGACAATATGGACATGATAATCGCCCATGCGTCGTCCATCCCGATAACATTCCGTAAGCTGGGAAGTCGCTAATGGTCCACATTAAAACCGCCCGCATCATAAAATTTTGCTGCCAAGAGACATCATATGCTTGAACTCCGTGCTCCCATAAAACTTGTAACTCATGAATCAAAGGTTGTAAGAACACATCAAGGGATCTCTTTGGGTGTTCTGGACCAGGAACAAGTATGCTGAGGAATAGAAACTCTCGTTTCATACACAACGATGGAGGCAAATTATAAGGTGTGAGAATAACCGGCCACAAAGAATATTGTCGTCCATGCTTTCCAAATGGGTTGAAACCATCAGTACACAGACCGAGGTAAACATTCCTACTTTCATCTGCAAAACTTGGATACATAGTTTGAAAATGTTTCCATGCCTCTGCATCAGAGGGATGCGCAATTTCGCCTTCGTTAGAATGCTCTTTGTGCCATCTCATTGCCCCTGCTGTGCGCTCAGATTGGTATAACCTTTTCAACCTATCAGCTAATGGCAAATACCACATACGCTTAAACGGCACTCGAGCCCTTCCACTAGTCTCTTGAAACCGAGCTTTTCCACAAAATCGACAATGTAAGTACTGTGCGTCTGATTGCCAGTAAATCATACAGTTATCGATACACACATCGATCGTCTGATATGGCAAACCTAGACCAGAAACAAGCTTCTCAATTTCATTATAAGAACCCGGTGCGATGTTGTCTTCTGGCAATATCTCTTTGACAAAATCGGCCCAAGCATCTACACAATCTTCAGACAAATTGTAATCCGTCTTTATATTCATCATCCGTGTTGCAGCGAATAAAGGAGAATGTCCTTCGCGACAACCTTCATATAACGGTGTCTTCGATGCATCCAACATTTCATAAAATCTTTTTGCTTCTATATTTGGTTCTTCTCCTCTATTTTCTTCGCCTGGAAACGACTGCATATTTTCCCTATATGCATCGTGAACCATTTGAACCGTGCCTACCGCCTCTGCTGGGAATGTAGATTCTTCTACCATATCTGGAACATTTCCACTACTACTACCCACATCGTATGTTTCACATTCCCCGTGATAATACCAGACTTTGTAACTAGGCAATATTCCGTCTCTATATAAGTGAGACCATACTAAACCCTTATCTATGAAATTATTATTATTACATACTGGACACGGACAAAACATCATACCAGTTGTTAAGCATGACTCCTGATTTCCTGCGAGGGTCATGAATTCGGTGAGGCCGGCTGCATACTCCGTCGTCAGCAATGAGTTGGATGCAAATCTTTCCTTGTCCATCCATGCCCGAAAACGATGCATAACTTGTAATCAATAATATATATATAATATTTTGGATCTTATTTTAAAAAAAAAAATTTTGTATTTTTTTATCAGAAATGTTTTTTGTGTTTTTTTTATAATAAAATTTTTTCTCTTTTAAGATATTGTTTTTCTTTTTTCGTAATGTTTTTTTTTTTTCAGGAGAAGCTGATATTGTTGTAATGTTAACGAATGTGAAATGCGTCTATTTATAAAGAATTTTTTTTTTTTCCTATAGTTTTCCTATGAATTTCCTACCAGAATATACACTATTACACCAACCTAGCAATCAACACGTTATTTACCTACAACACACACCACCAACCAAACTACAAACGTGTTAGTAAAAAGCCCTACGCTTATCCTTCGAATTTCCTACCAATTATTTCCCCATTAGTTTCCTTCGCGTTTCCTACGAAATTTCCTACGAAGCTCTGTTCGTAAGAAACGGGACGGAAATAATCTCTCGAATTTCCTACCAAAAGTTTCCTTTTCCTTTCATTCCATTTTCCTACGAAATTTCCTACGATATTATTTTTCGTAGGAATTTCGTAGGGACTTTCCTACGAACTTCTCACGGCTTTTAGCGTAGGGAATTCCTTTCAAATTTCCTACGAAAATTACGTTTCGTAACAAATGCGTAGGAATTTGGTAGGAAGTTTTTCCTACCAAATATTTGGTAGGAATTTTTGTAAGAAAACCCTATGTTTTATACATTGTAATATAAGTGTTAACTATGTAAAAAATCTTTTACCAAAAAAAAAAAAACTATGTAAAAAATCTCTTTAGCAAAACAAGAACTATGTAAAAAATCTACTGTAAAAAAAAATTAAAAAATAATACTCGAAATTTAAATGTTTGTGGCATTCTAACTGTTGTTTAAATTTGTTTAACAACAAATCCCAATGTATATCTTTTAAAAGCAGTGACATTTTTCGTTTACAAGAAAAATTGTATTTACTTTTAATATTTTAAAATTGTTAATTTTTCTAACTTAAAATTTTAGACGACCAAAACTAAGCTTTATAATCATTAAAGAATATTGGTACATCTAACTACAAAACAGGTCAATCATCTAGGTTTAATAATAATTAAGCCTAATAACACAACTGAGGATTACATGTTAATGAGATTCAAACGATGTTTAAAGTCCACAATACCAACTCAAACTCAAGTATATATTTACTTATGTTTAAACGATGTTTAAAGTCCTAAAAGGTAGGAATACCAACTCAAGTATCAAACCTTTTTAAAGTAATTTTTACTATGTCAATGCATGTGAGAATTACCGAGTTACTTTGAGAGTTAGGATTAATATTAATTCTTGTTTCTAATCTATTCATATACAGTACTATTTTCTTGGAAGCTTCTTCATATCAATGACCTAAAACTTAATTTTTGAAAATCTATTATTTAGTCACAGAATTCAAATTTTTGGTATAGTAAATGTTTCATTTCGTTATATTTACATACGAGATTTAAACACCTAAAATAAAATTGTACGAGACTAGTGTTAGTTATTCAATAGTATGATGCAACGTACAAAAGTTGATAATTCGTTGCGAATATTTATGATACTATACCATGATCATTTCCAAGTGATAGTTACTTCCTTTTTGATGCATAATAATTACTCACCAACATTGAAGCGTGGTCGACATTTTCATTGGCAATAAGCATAAGATTCATTTATTTATATTAAACCACAGAAACAAACATTTGTTAATTAAAGAGTTCTGGCATTTCTCTATTAGTCCACATAATTTAATATCATCTTCAAAAGAGATTTCACTATTAATAATTTAATACTTTATACGTTACATTATATTAAATGAATTATCGTTGTGATAAACTTTCACATTTTTCAAAAAACATATGAATCATAATGTGACACATGGAAATTTCCCGCAACCGAGGCTCACATAGTAGAGATGCTTATGCAATTCATATTCTTGCAGCCTAAACTCTTGCATGTTCAAACGTTTAACCTAACAAAATTGCTTCTCTCTCTTAACTCTCACCTATCTTTCAGAGAGAGAAGAAGAATTCCGGTTAACCGGATTTCACCTCCGGCTTAACTGGTTTTGTTTATATGTAGTTTTCTGACTATAGTCAGATCTAAATAAATTCCAACTTAGCTTTAGTTAAGTTTGGATTTCTGTTTTCTTTCTTTCTACATGTTTTTAATCTTGATCCCGTTTGCTTTCAATTGATCTCTTTCGTCTCCCGTTTGCTTGCCTCCTCTCTTATGTTGGATTAACATCTTCGTCGATTGCTGTGAAGTGAAGCAGACCTTGGGTTAGGTCTTAGACGGAGTCTCCTTCTAGGAGATTGGGTTAAGAAGATGAAGAATTGAAAAACTCTTTATGTGGTAAAATCAAAACGGCAACGGTGGATTTTGATTGGATCTACAACGGCGACATCTGTAGAAGAAATCCGGGGGTGGAATCTCGAAGCCGGCGGCGGAGCTGCGTCAATCGTGGATCTGACCGGAGCCGTCCGTGTCAAAAGCTCTCCTTCTTGCGTGGTTGACATCTGTCACCACGTGGCACCCTCTTTTCTTAATCTTTTCTTAATAGTTAAGGTTAAGCTGCAATTAGATTAATTAGGGTTGTAAATGGAGAAGTTTGGGCTTTGTATTTCATCACTTGTACTTGCCCACTGGGCTTTTATCAATGAAACTCTTGGTCGACAAAAAAAAAAAAAAAAAAACTCTTGCATGTTCAGTAAAAACACCATGATATGAAAAATAAAACTTAGCCCTTTTTAATATTTGAACTTATTCAGATTAAAAGCATTTATCAAAAGAAAACGTAGCATATTAAATCCCCGAAGGAAATAAAACCAAATATTTCTCCAAATTTAAATACATGTGTTAGTTATCCAATTTTAAAGATTATTTTCATCCACATCACTACATGCTAACACGAAACAAGAAATTATGTAATTTAATCAATAGATCTAATATTGTCACTTACTAGATTTTACCCCGCGGTACACCGCGGGTCGATTCTTTTAACTAAAAAAAATAAATTTTAAGTTGTATTTTTTTTTATATATTATTTATTTTGTTAAGTGGTTAAGATTGCATAATTGTATTTTGATTATTAATTTTAGGATTTCATCCGTGATATATATACTACCCCGTATTAATATCGATCCAAACCCGTCCCACCATATAACCCCGTCCCGTGAAATTAAACATCATTCTGTTATTTTTAATAATAATTTATTTAATAGACATATATTTTGAGTCAATTTAAAATTTGATTATATATAATTTTAAATTGTAGTTAATAATAATGAATTCTGTATAATGATTTCCGAATTAATTGCGTATGTCCGATGGTCAAGATTGAAGATTAAAAACCTGATAAAATTTTGAATGGCCACGATTAAATGTAAGAATTATTGAGATTTTTTAAGGATATCGAATTGAATATGGATGTAATTGTGGCAAAGATTGGTTATGGTTAATATATTATGTTAAGATTTTTAGAAATAATTTTTTTATGTTAGTACTATCTTTGATTTAATTTTGTAAATCTAAATAATTATTGTCAGTAGCATTTGATCATAAATAAGTAAGAACTCCAGGATTTATTTCATATATTTATGTAAGTCATAAGTTAACCGACACCAAAGCTAATGATCGTTAAGACTTCTTAATGATCGTTAGTTTAGTTGGGCTATCCGTTAATATTAAAAGTTATTTTCACGTAAAACAATATTTTGAGTTTTGTTCTCATGTTTTGACAAAGTGAGATTGACCTTTCAGAGAATAGCCAATTGAGCTATTTGAGACCAAATTACCCTTAGAGAACAACTATTCTTGTTTGGTTACGTTTCTTAACTCTTCTACAACCAAACTACATGAAAGAAAAAATGATTATATATTTTTTTTACTTCAACATATAAAATTTTTTAGAAAATCAGAATTTAAAGAAAAAGAAATGAAATAATCCGAGTACAAAGGCGAGCTGCTCTTTATACTAAAATCAAAGGAAATTTTATTTTAAATCTGAAATTTTGTAGTGAAATAATTGATTTTGCTTCATTATCAAGTAGACAGATTAGAGTTAATAGATTAAGAGATTTCTTGCGAGTTGGAGAAATGATAAAAATGGTGAAAAAGCAAGTGTTCTTTCGACGAAATCGACTTAATCACCGGCCAATTAAACAAAACTCAAACTCTTTAGTTTTTCGAACTTAAAATATGCTAGATGTACAATATTTACATGTAAGAAACATTCAAAATGTATAAAGAAAACAAAATTCTGAGATAACTGTTGAAAACAGCTGCAAAATTAGGGATGCAGAGGTTGAAGACGACTGCCAAATTACAATTATACCCTTCATTAAATTTTTTCAGTGTACGTACATGCAATTTATAGTGTACGTATCATTGATATGTTGACATGTAAATATGTTAGATTATCGTATCTCCGATTTGCGTCTTTGGCGAGTAGAACATAATGTCAATTTACTTTCATGCGATCGATTTTAGTACCCGAATCACAAGTCTTACGAAACGGTTTTCAAAGATCTATTTTTTTTTCAAAATTTGCAGAGAGGCGGAACAGAGTATCGTCTCTCCTGCAAGTAGTAATCTTAGTTGAATCTTCGTTAAAAACTTGATGCCCAACCTAAATCAGGATAAATCGTTTTCAAAATTTTGATTTCAAGTATATCTTTCGTATGATCATATCATTTCAGAATTCTCTTTTTTCTTCAATAGCAAACCCAGATTCTGCAAAATTTTCAAGAAATTGATTTTTTGTACTAGGTGTGCTTTCTTCTTTAGTTTTTTTTTTGTTAACGTACGCAATTTGCGACTTAGACAAAAAGTAAACCATAGTTATATATTTTGTCCCTCTGAATTTCTTCTATGTACGTGTACACAATTTTTTGTGTACGCAATATTGATTTTATGGACGTGTACGTTTCTTAAATTATGTACCATTGTGGAAGCGGTGTACGTGTAATATCAATAAATTTTTTAATTAAAAAAACTTGGTTAATTTGACTAACATTTCACAATACACTATTGGTATACATAAACGTAAAAATAAAATATAATAAAATCAATCTTAAAACATAGAAAATATAAATATATATATATATATATATATATATATATATATATATAATTTTTGTCTATTATAGAAAATTTCTTCAATATAATATGCATTCACCTATCATTTTCATATAGCACTACTCTAATTATGTTACACTAGATTGTTGGTAAAGAATATGTAATGTTTCAAACTGAACCCGTAAACGTACACGGCAATATTGAGATATACGTACACGCACATGACCGCACTAACCAATTATTGTACTAATATCATGAAATGTCTTTCCTACCAATTTTTAATTTATATTATGTGCATCTCCACTCACAAACAACAATAAAAATAGAAATCTCTATTGAACACATGCATCATAAATTTATGAAAAACACATGCATCAAAAAAGACATAAATTGTAGAACCATTCGTCTCTGAGGCGATAGGCAAGGCGATCGTGTCTTTTCATCTATGATGCTCTTTCTCCATCACTAGAGTGAATTACGCTGGTCTCCGATAATGTATGTTTAAACGTCGGCAAACGATAAGATGGTTTTGGTGATTGATTTGGAGTTTTTGTGGCGGTTACTACAACGCACCCTTCCTTTACTCTTTCTGATGGCCATAGCTGCGGCATGGCTTGCACTTACGTTGATCATGGATCAGGTTCTAAGTATCTCAAGCCAGTTTTCAATTGAGGCGACGTTAGTGGCAGATCAAACGCACATGGATTCGGTGAAAGATGGTTCTTTTGGTGACCGGAAACGAACTCGTTTCCGAGAGGTTTCTCCGATAAAGGAGATGTGTTATATTTGGTTCATCATAGTGGATCATTTATATGACTTTATCTATGATGAACTTGTTACCTCCGTGAAGGGTTTTGCGACTCTCCATGATGCCCAATATCCTCGATACCTACATTCTTAAAAATGTTATGTACGTACATGTATAATAGTGTACGTATATCTTTGTTGATGAGTTAAAATTGTTGAGATATATTTTTTGATATAATAATAAATCAATATTCTACGATAGTCCTACTGGAGATGAAGACATTGTTATTTGCAAAAAAATAAGTGTTTATAAACATACTCACAACTTACAATGTCTCTCATGTCATACTAATTTATACTTCTGTTTCATCAAGTCGGACATTGACTAAATCATCGAATTCTTCCAAAAATGATGTCTTCCCTTTTGGTTATGACTCACAAATGGTTGAATGTCATAGTTGGTTTCACTTATTTATTGAAAACAAATTATTAATATTTTTTTAATTGAGTTCGTAGAAAACTTGTATGAAATTGGTAAGATATTTTTGGTAGAAATATGTCCTTATTTGAGTTTTTTCTATTTACGTGTATGTAGTTTACGGTATACACAGTATTGATTATAAAATGGATATGTACTTATGTTAGATTATGTACTATTGTGGAGACGGTGTACGTAATAGTTATAGAGTTTGTATTTTAGTTTTTCGACTTCAAAATACGCTAATATAAATTAGATTTACAAAATCAATAAATAAATTAAATGTAAAAAAACAAAAGATTATAAGAAAATTGTGAACAATGGCCATAAAATTAAAGTTGCTGAAGAAGAAACCAGGTTAAAGATGAGTACAAAATTAGAATGATGCCTTTGAGTATATGGACGTGTACGTCTTTCACAGTATGTACCATTGTTGAGGCAACGTACGTGTAATATTTACAAATTCTTAAATTGCAACATTGGTTAATTCAACAATCGTACTCTGATTTAGGTAAAACAGATCTTCCAATACTAAATTGCACACAATTACCATTCATACGATGTGATTTTGAAACATTATGGAATTCTTGACAACTTGAGCTGTCAAATGCCATGGACAAGTATCATCAACGCAAACCATCTCCAATTTTGTAGGACATGACCTAGGTTGCTTGTAGCAAAAGCATTGTTTGATTGCGAGATAAGACATTGTTTGTTGTATGACTTTTCTGTTCTTAAAAACACTTCACACTAAAAACCTCGCATAATGTACGTACAAATTCCGTGTACGTCATGTTTTCCTTAACACGTACACAGCAAACAAAGATGCCTTCCTCTGGTTCAAATTTCCATTCTTCTTTTTGGCATCTCCACTCACCCACCGTAGTAAATACGGGAATATCCATTACCCACCTGCATCATAAATTCAGCAGAACCCCATTAAATGCAACTCAAAACATGATTATATCTACAAAAAACAAAAAGAATTTCCAAGTACACACTTTTAAACATATATATCCTCATTTAGCATTTTCAACAAACAAAATTGGAAATAAAAATTTCTGGGTTTTTATATAAAAAACAATGTTGATTTCGAACACAATCAAGATCCTACTGTGTTATAACAAAAAACTTCTTAACCAACTTTATTACTTACACGATCAATGCTTGTCTTGGCTCCAAACTTTGTAAATCAACAAGATTAAAACTTCTCCAGCATCACATTCGTTGAGACTAATTTGTTTGTTTGATGGTTCATGCTTATCTCTTACAATTTTTCAAACGTATAAACTAATATTACAACAAGTAATGATGAGTTTTGCATTAATTGTGACAAGAGTCATGTCTCAACTTTTTGGGCATTAAATACTGATGTTTCTTTATTTTTTAATGTTATTACTCCCCCTTTTCACTGTACAGCCGCACAAAATATTAAATAAAAATATTATCTTAGCCTAACCGGAACAGTGTACCTAACTGAACCGTATAATTGAACCGTACACGGAACAGTACGTCGTTACGCTGGCAGGGGTAAAATGGTCAGAATTTGGCTAAATTGTCAAAACATGAGAACCAATTCTCACTTTGCCAAACCATGAAAATAAAAGTTGGTCTTCTGCCCTGGCCTGCAATTTACCCTAATATTAAATAGATGAGAGAGTATAAAGTAAAAACTGCCTTCGTCTCTGAGGCGATTGGAAAGGTGATCGTGCCTTTTCATTTCCCATGATTTTCTTCGCCTCCGAGAGTGATTATCATTTATCTTTGACAGTGTATTCTCAGATTATGGCAACAAATATGATGGATTTGGAGATTGATTTGGCGATCCTACAGTAGTTTTTACATTGTGTATTTGCTCTTCACTTGTCGGTGACGATGGTTGCAGCGGGATTCCCACCGACGACAACTATTGATAAGGTTCAGAGTTCTTGGGACAAAATTACAGTCCCAACAGTGATGGCGGATCAAAGACACATAGATTCGGTTAGATATGATCATCCCTCTAGTGATTGGAAACGATTACGTTTTCGGAAAATTTCTCCAACAATGGAGACGGTTTATTTATGGTTCGTCGGAGTAGGTCCAATTTTTGACTATACTCACGTTGAGCCCGTTATCTCCGTGAAGGGTTTTACGACCCTCCATGATGGCCAATATCCCCAAAACCATTTTGGTGAAGGGATTGAGTGTAAAACTCGAAGAATGTGTTGGTGTATTGGTCGGCGACTATGGGATCCCGGAATATCAAGGCTACAAAGAAGCAATCAGTCAGTGAAGGAAAAGATACCAAGCGTTATAAATAACTTTAGAAGGGCCTTTCATTTTTGGTCTTCAAAAAACGTCAAAAAAGGAATCGAGATTATGGATTTATCATGGGTGATATTTACAACCAAAACAATCCCATCGCCTAGCGTCGGAGATGGAAATGATGGTATGGTTTGCGATGTAACTGATGGATCGCAACCTTTTGATTTTCAAAAAGCGTATTGGAGTTTCATGAAAGAAATGATAGCCAAGCAAGAAGATCAAATTAGACCAAAGACGAAGACGATCAAGTAATAGATTGATAAATCTATTAGCGTGTAAGGCTTCCCTAGAAAAGGAAGTAACGTGTAACTTCACTTTTTCGATTATTTCGATGTACTTAAGTTTTGGTTGTATGGATAGTAGAACTTTAACTTGTATGCTCATTGATTTATTTGTATACTCTTGTTAAAGTTAATAAAGAAGACGTTAAAAAAAAAAAATTAAATAGATGTGGTCCTCTCGGCCCATTAGTGCTGTCCAAACTGGCCCAATATGACCCAGTGAATGGTCCCAACAAACGCCGCGACAAAACTCCGTCGCTGACCGAAGCAATGTTCACCGGTGGTGGTAGCTTTCTTCTACTCCGACCCGGCTAAAATTATGCAAATCCCTAACCCTAAACACGGCCATGGTTAAAGCTCATCAATTTCTTCTACTTCTCTCTCCTTCAAGCTAAACCCATCCAAGATCTTCCTCTATTAGGTGCAACAATCAGGTAAATCTCCGATTTGAAAACCCTAGATCTCTCTCTTTCTCTTCTGGGTTTTGCTCAAAGATGGGTGACAGCGAAGATGAAACTGGGTATCCAAAAAAGTTTTACTCTTTGAATCGGCAAAACCATCCAATGTATAGTAGACCAATACCTAAGCGTCACGCGTATTACAATGAAGAAGAAGACGAAGATGAAGTCGAAGGCGAAGAAGAAGAGCCACAAGGAGGATACATTCGTGGGAATGAGAGGTTTCAGAAGAGACAGAAACCAAACAAACCGGTTGTGTCTGGGTTTGAATTTGCTGGTCCTAGTGATACTAAAGTTGCGTATGATTGGAGAGAGCAAGAAGCTTTTGTGTTGCTTGAAGTTTGGGGAGATAGGTTTTTGCAATTGGGTAGGAGGAGTTTGAGGAACGAGGATTGGAATGAAGTAGCTGAGAAAGTGAGTGAGGAGCTAAGGATGGAGAAATCTGAGACGCAATGTAGGAGGATGATTGATAACTTGAAGAGGAAGTATAGGAAAGAGAAGATGAAGGTTGAGAAATCGGGTTTAGGTTCGAGTAAATGGGGGTTTTTCAATAAGTTGGATATGTTGCTTTGTGTTTCGCCTAAGTCGGATTTAGGTTTAGCTTGTGGTGTTGATTCAGGTGAGTTTGTGTTTATGAACACTAAGGTTTATTTGGATAAGTCGAACGGGTTTGATGAGATGATGGATAGTCCTGGTGATTCGGAAGAGGAGGAGGATGATGAAGATGAGGTTGATTACGAGAGGAAGAAGGTTAATGACGCTGCTTCGTATAAGATGTTGGCGGATTCGGTTGAGAGGTTTGGGAAGATTTATGAGAAGATGGAGAAGAGTAAGAAAGAGCAAATGAAGGAGTTGGAGAAGATGAGAGCTGATTTTCAGAAGGATTTGGAGTTGCAGAAGAAACAGATTGTCGATAGAGCTCAGAGTGAGATTGCGCGGCTACGTGAAGAGGAAGAGAATCATCATGGTGGTGGTGATGATGATGAGAGTGAAGATGAAGAAATGGAGAATGATTCTGATGTTAATCTCAGTGATGAGTAAGTTATCAACTATGTAGGCTTGTGTTGTTTTAGATGTTCTGTTTTTTTTCGTTTTGGGGGAATTTAGAGAACTGATAGTTTTTGTAATTTGTGTTTGGTCTTTGCAACTTTATTAATTAAGGTTATTTGCAATTTATCTTCAATCAATGCATTAATATATTTCCTTGTTAAGAAGATACTGTTTATGATTATTCTCTTGACCAATCTGATGAATTCGGTTACGGTTTACTCATAGCTAAACCGATAGATTCATATGTAATCTTGTTAGAATCGTGAAAACAAATTTTGATATATAAGCATTTTTCAAGAGGACTAAAACATCAGAGAAGCAAAAAGAGCTTAGTGTTATGTCATCGCCAATTTTTTGGGAACACAGTAAGAGGATTTGATCTCATGCCATAAGCAAACCAAAGTGTCGTAGTCATCTTCGCCAATGGCGGCATTGTTGTGGGCGGCCCGAGAGATACCTACCAATGACTTGAGCCAGTCTTCATGCAGACTTGAGAACTCAGACCTTAGCTCACTTGATTTGAAGTTTTCTCCAATTGATCTCTTCATGGCTTGAGCAGCGTCTGATGCTGTTTCAACTACTTGGTTTGGTATTCCAGCCATGAGGGCTACTTGAAGTCCGTAGCTCTCGGGACAAGCTCCCTCGGTTAAACGGTACAAGAACACTAGGTCTTGGTCACAGCCACGCGGTGCTTGATTAGATCTTGATTTGAATGCGCAGGCCATGTGTTTCGAGGTGACACGTGGATGAGACGCGAATTCCTTGGTGAGAGGGTGGTAATGTGTTGCAAAGAGCATCCGACACTGGACTTTCTCTACCAGGTGACGAAAAACCTGATATAAATCGATAAGTTTCAGCGAAATGAACTGCATGTTTTTGTTGATCAACAAGTATAAGTTGAAGGAAAGAGGAGGTTACCGAGTATGCAATGGCGTATCCATCGAAAGTACTAGTTCCTCTGCCCAGTTCATCAAGGATTACGAGTGAATCCTGTGTTGCATTCTGAAGAACTGACGCTGTCTCAGTGCATTCTACCAAGAAGGTACCTAAGAAAAGAAAAAACCAGCTTGTCCAATCAGAAAAAATCTGCGTAAATAGTTTGAGGAATTGGTATTTTGAGAACAAAACTTACTCTCTCCTGTCATGATTCTATCAGATGCACCAAGCCTTGTGAAGATAGTATCCACAAGGGAGATTTCACAAGTCTCACACGGCACGTAGCAGCCAAGCTGCACACAGAAAACAGGAAGTTTATTATTCATGTTGAAAACCAGTTGCAAAGAAAAGCAGTAATTATCTAACAAGTGTACAGACTTGGGCAAAGATAACGGCAAGACATGTTGCACGAAGAAGAGTTGACTTTCCACCCATGTTTGGTCCTGTCAGTAACAAGGACCGAGGATGAATGCTACAGCTGCGACTTCTAGCCTCACCAAGGAGTATATCATTTGGAACAGGCAATTGACCATCAGCGGCAACTGCAAATGGATGCCAAAGTCCTTGGATTTTAAGTATTGGCCCTTTTATTTCCTGATTCTGATCTGTATTTTCTGATTCCGGAAAAATAACAGGCCTGGCCATGCTTCCAGCAGAGAGACTTGCTGCGATTGCAAAAGATCTCAGGACATCTAGGCAGCTTATGGTGTGAATGACCTCAGACCATTGAGTGGCTCTTTCGATAAATAGTTCAATAAGTATTGTAAGAGTTTCAGCATTCTCCTCTGTCATTTCTTGGTTCTGTTAAAAAGTTAATAAGAAGTTAGAAACATATCAAACCAAAATCATATACCAAAACCTTTAGGAATAAAAAGCAAATTATGTGAACATGTCTTTCAGCAGTGACAGAAATTTTGTTGCAAAGTATGAATTTGCTGGATAGATGGGCACCTGACAATTTGGAAAGTCGCTATCTATGGCTGCTTCGAATTGAGAAAGGAATAACTCTAGCCCATTTTTTCCAACTAATATAGGAAGTTTACAGAGTTTACAAAGCAAACTCATCATATTTGATTCCTTCTGTAGAGCCAACAACAGATCAACTCCACTTCTGAACCCTTTCACAATTTGCCCAAATGCTTTAACCTGCAGTGTAATACGTTTAGAGAAATGTCATTGTTAACCAGACATATTGCAATAGAAGCTAGACCCGTGATGCTTAATTTATATACAAATCATGGAAGGCATTACTCAGAAAACATGTGATTGATGCTTACTCGTTGTTTCAGCACTTTTTTCCCCAGAAGAGCTGGCAAAACAGAGGCTGATGATTGAACGCTAGACTTAATGCGTCCGAGCAGTCTTTCTAAGTCTGGAAGTTTGTGGAGATACTGGCCAGTGATTTGCATCAGTTCTGAGTTTGCCGTGAATTCTTCAACTACATCAAGCCTTTTATTGATGCTTACTACATCTTTGAGTGGATGGCAGATCCAATTCCTTAAGAGCCGCTTACCAGTTGGACTAACACAGTTATCAAGATATTTGTACAAGGTCCCTGCAGAGGTAAACAAAAATCGGCTATTACTTACTAGAGATCGTACATTAGAATATTTCCTTCTGTATCTACCATCTATTTGAAGCTATAAAAAAATATGCACTTGCCTGAAGGACCACCATCACAGCTATTGTTAAATATCTCAAGATTTACCATAGTCTGGCCATCAATTCTGAGACAACCCCTGTAAACTTGGTATGGAAAAATATCCCCATGCTTAAGTACATCTTCTAGCTGCAAGAAGATAGAAACTGTTAGTTATGAGGAGTTCCTTTGCTTAACTTGTGAAAAGCAAAATCTAACCAAGCCAACGCACCTTTAGCCTAGACAGATGATTAATTAGTTCTCCAAGAGCACTAAGGGCAACATCACATTCATTTAGACCATCAACAGCACAGTTCCATGATTCAGAAGAACCTCTAAAGTATCCGTTAGATTCTATTATATTTCTAACTCCAGCAGCATCCGTATCTCCCATTACTTGTGGTACGGGAGCCAACTGTACCGCCGTAGACCCTATTAAATTGAAACATAAAATATCATTTACAGTAGCAATGCTTAAGAGATCTATCATTGGGTGAGCAGCTAAAAGAAGAAAGATTTCATGCACAAATCTGCACATCGAGTCTACATGATGATCTCTAGTAAGAGCATGTTTTCCTAAATTCTCAGTTAAGTAGCCCACTGAAATAGTACCTGTCAATGTATACTTCCTTAGAGCCTTTTGGGCTTCTCTTGATAGCCCTGCAATATTCAAAGATTTATGCACTTAAAATTAACCAGAGTAATTTACCTTAATTTCTGTTTGACAAAACAACTGGCGATACAAGCAGATTACCTTTACTGTCATATACCACTTCCTTAGGAGAAACCTGGAAAAAAAGATACCAAATGGTGATTCAGGATTAGTTCCTGCAAACCAAGTATATACACACGAAGTCACATGTAACACAATAAAGAACACTCTGGATTACCTGCATCAATAAAGCTCCAAGAGCAGCACATGATGCATCATCGCTGATGGACCCGACCCAAAATCTCAAGGCAGCACAGTCAACAAAAGCAAATCCATACACAGTTGAACACTTTTCTAGCTCCATTTTGATCTAAAATCAAGATTCAGAAGAAAAATTGACATAAAACCATTAGCAATGTAACCAAAGGCAATTCCTGAGTAGCTACTTTATCATGACAATGTAAGGCTTGGATCAGCTATCATTTTCTCCGGCACACGAGACAAACACAACACAGACAATGGTCATTACAGAAAGAGGAGGATGCAGTAACAAGGAATGAGATAACTAGCATGCAATTGCAGACTATGATCATTGTAAGAAAGTAGGGGATCCAGTTAAAGATTGAATCTTTCAAATTCAAAGAATCTTAGACAGAGCTTTTAGTCAGGTGACAAAAAAATTTCAAGCGAACCTCTTGCATATAAAACAAAGCAGCAAATCTTGACTTTCTAATTCCAAATCCTTACACTGCTTGATGGAAGATTTCTTAAGAAGAGTGTGAGTTTCCAGGACTCGAATGAACTGAACTTGATAAGATAAATAACAAACCTCTTTTATAGCAAGAAGATGGACGGCATCAGGCCCGATGTTACCCTCGCTTGCTGTTGATGGAGTTAATACCTGAACTAGCTTCCTTGGAATTATCTGATAATCAGACAAGAATAGCCATTGAGTTAATTACAGCATGAAACTAGAATACAGAAAAAGAAACGATCAAGAACAGTCTGCTACACCCTCCTTGACCTGTCCAAGAAAACTTACAGTATTAGCACCTCTGGCTTTTGCTTGGTCAGATGTTTCTAGCTGCTCGATTCGTCCAACTTTATATCTTCCAAAAGAAACAACGAGTGTGTCAATAGTGGAATAGGAAAACATATGAATCTGCAGCTAGTTTCTGTTGGAAGCTTGTAAAATTTTCCAGTTTCAACACAAGGCTTGAAAGCCGCAATGAAAGACAAATGAGTGTACCACATACAAGTAAACATATATTTTCCGTACTGTTGCTACATTGAACTAGCAAAGGTTGACTGGGTATATGCCTTGCCTTGCCAGTGAGCACACAAATAGTGTGCAAATATTGTTTGTTACTCCTCGATGAAAAGGCTTATTATAAATGATAACGAAGAAGAAAACATCCTAGGCTCTCAGAATCCTAAGTGATTTCCATTTTTCAAATCCTAACCAACGTAGCAGGAAAGGAATTCCAAAAAGTATGATAGTTCCCTTACCCACGAGCTAAAAGCTTTTGCACTGCCTCATCTATCCCACTTTCAGAGATACCGACCTGATAAAAAAGGGGACGTCAAATTTATATACCCAATAATTCAAGCAGGCCAGTAGTTTCAACTAATTTACCTGTCTGCATTTTCCCACACCGCTCATGGTCATCTTCCAGTCAAGCTCCTTGTGACCTAATTCCGCATCTAGCTCATACAGCTCATAAAATTTTCCCTGAGAATAACATAACGTACGCAAATGTAAGTGAACCAATTGCATTGAGGAAATGGATTGAACACTAGATTGATGATCTTCACTAACCACTTTAAAGAAGAGCACAATATCCATATATTCACTCTTGACACTCCAATATTGCTTCTGTGACGCAGACATTTTCTTGAAAACATCAGGCGGTATGTATAGAGTCTTTCTGTCGTAAAGAGGATCATCAGGCCGTCTTCTATTGGCATCCCTGATTCGAGAAGGCTCAAGCCATTCAAATTTGGTTCCTTCGTTTACTTCTTTCTTCTCTCCACAAACCGGATCCTGGAGCATTTTCAGCCTTTTGTTAGAATCCAATACAGGAACCTTATCCTCCTTAAAAGTCATTCCATCCTCCAGAACTCGCTTCAAACGCGAAACACTTGGACGCATTCCTGGTGTTTCTGGACCAGGAACATCGTCATCAACTCCTATATCTTCTACTGATCTTAGAGCAGCTCTCCTACTAAAGCTAAAAGCATGGTCTCTTTCTTGAGTTTGACCATTATTGGAACGAAATTCAGGAATAACATCATCAGCTTTCATACATACAGATGAATTATTCTGCGGAACAACATCTTCTCGGCTCCTGAGAATTTGTAAACAATGATCCAATGCAGTAATCAGAAACATAAACAATCTTCTAGCTAATGATACAAAATTAAAAGAAACGAAGATTAGTACCTCTCTCCAGAACATTCTCGATCATCAACCTTCACAAACTTATGCATAATATTAGAGAACAAAGACGAAGCACCGCCTCCGGCGGATTCAGCCGTCTTAAATCCAGACGGCAGAACACGACGCGGAACCTTCTCCGGCGGGGTATCCGTTCCTCTAACCTCATCAACAGATTTCGAAACAGCAAAGCGTACAGAAGCGTCGCCTTTAGCATCCCCTTCCTTCACACTGAATCGCAATCCTCCTCCGCCGCCGCCGCCGCCGCTAGTAGCATCGCCGGAAACCAAACCCTGAGTAGTCGCCGGCGAGGGCGAGGGCTTTTGGAAGAAAGACAAAATCGATCTCTGTCGCTGCATTTTGGAACTGTGTGAGAGAGAAAGCGAGAAACGATGTATTGAGCTAAGAGAAATCGAAAGGGGGGAACAATTGGCGCCAAAATGTTTCGCCTTGCGTCGTAGAAATGGCGGAAACGAGACTCCTCAGGGATACTTTTTGTTTACTGTTCACTCTTTGATGACCGTCCGATTATCTTCTATTACTATGTACCGTTGGATCTATCGAGGCAACGAGTCAATCAGGCATTGGTATTCGGTTCGGCTAACCCGGGTTTCGGATAGTTCGGTTCTGGAAGTAAGGGACCCGAATTCAAACCGACATAAAATCATTTTTTTGCTAAAATTACGATTCAATTATACGAAAAAAATTTGGTTTAGTTTTGATAAAATTTTGGTTAGCGTTTATACTACCAAAATGTGTTATCCATGCCGAACCGGAAACCAACCCAAAAAGCGTTTAAATTAAATGCCACGTCAGAGATAAACTTCAAATCAGATGATGACACGACTTCAAATCAGAAGAACGTTCCAGAGACGAAAATGGAGAAAAAGATGATCGAATTCTCCAGAAGCTAGTTGGTCGTATATAAATCACACAATCCTCTCATCGTCTCATCATCATCGTCTTCATTGTTCTCATTTTCAGAAACTCAGATTATTATTATTTTCTTCTTGTTCTGTCTCTCAATCAACAACAACAATGCCGAGCAGATACCCAGGAGCAGTAACACAAGACTGGGAACCAGTAATTCTCCACAAATCAAAACAAAAGAGCCAAGACCTACGCGATCCAAAAGCGGTTAACGCAGCGCTTAGAAACGGTGTCGCGGTTCAAACGGTTAAGAAATTCGACGCCGGTTCGAACAAAAAGGGGAAATCTACGGCGGTTCCGGTGATTAACACGAAGAAGCTGGAGGAAGAAACAGAGCCTGCGGCGATGGATCGTGTGAAAGCGGAGGTGAGGTTGATGATACAGAAAGCGAGATTGGAGAAGAAGATGTCACAAGCGGATTTGGCGAAACAGATCAATGAAAGGACTCAGGTGGTTCAGGAATATGAGAATGGTAAAGCTGTTCCTAATCAAGCTGTGCTTGCGAAGATGGAGAAGGTTCTAGGTGTTAAACTTAGGGGTAAAATTGGTAAATGAATAAACGATGTCGTTTTGATTTTGTATTTTGTGGATGCTTGTAAAAAGTAAAAACAAAAATCTTGTGGTTTGTTTGGAAAATGAAAAAAATAAAAACTATCTTTTTTTTTTAGTTTTTTATGTAGTCTGATTTGGTGATATAAAACGGTATTAGCAAGTAGAAAAAGCTCCAAATGACGATAAAAGAAACGGTAAGAAAAAAAAACTGAAAATAAAGTTTTTTGGTATCGGGTTTTGTGATAGATAATTGTAAAATTAGACTAATTAGTATGGAGTATTATTTTTTTAGTTATATTGGTTATTGGTCAAAGATTCTGATTGATAATACCGTTTAATCGCAGGATAAAAAAGCGCATAATCAACTATATATTTATTTATCTGTATAATAAGTTTTTATTTTTATATTTTGGTGAAAACATAAGTTTTGCATTTTATTAAAAATTATGCAAAAAAATTTGATTGGTAAAATTTTTGCACAAACGCATTAGAAAACGTCATTCCGCTATTATGCGAGCTACCAATTAGAGCCAATATAATAGTATTTCTTTAACATTTTTTTATAACATTTCTACCATTACAAAAATGTGGGTATCATACACCCAATAAGAGTTACAATTATTTAAATCATAAACCGTTGTTTTATAGTTTAAAATGTTATCTATATGAAAAAATGCAATGAGTGTAAAAAACAATTATTATTATTTGGCACAAATTTTTAAACAAAAACAAAACATATTGAACAAAAAAACAAAAGAAAAAGTGGTAGCACAAAAACAAAAACAAAACATTCAAGCCTTGGTCTTATTGTTTGATTAAGTTTTCTTCTATATGTTTATGAACAATTTTACTACATCCAAGGGGAATTGTGAAGAGGCATAACGACGGATTTGGTTTGTAGAAAGTTGTCGAGAGCATCCATGCCGCTTTCACGACAATTGCCACTCATCTTGTAGCCACCGTAAGGACAATCAAGATCAAACCCGAAATAGCAATTAACCCAAATGATTCCAGCTTTGATTGACCTCGAAACCGTGTTGATCAAGTCTATGTTTTGGCTCAGTATTCCTGCTGCAAGACCGTATTTCGTGTTGTTTGCGCATTTGATCCCTTCTTCTACCGTCCTGTGAAAGCAATTTCCGATATTTTAGAGTTATGAAACGTGACAATGATTGAGAAGAGAAGTTAGTTTTTGTTGGTTTTACTTGAATTTCATCAATGACATGACTGGTCCAAAGATTTCATCTTGGTATATCTTCATATCCTCCTGTAAAATCAACAAAATTAACAACAGTTACATATATAGTTATATGATTATGAAAAACACGAAAAAGTATTTACTTATTTGCGACTTACGGTGACATCTGCGAATATAGTTGGTTCGATGAAGTATCCTTTGTCTCCAATGGCTTTACCTCCAGTTAATAAGGTTGCTCCTTCGTTTTTACCGTGCTCAATGTAAGATAGAATCTTCTCAAATTGTCTTTTATCCACCTGAACAAACCCAAAATATAATTAATCATAATGTAACTCTAAATCTACTCAAATCAAGATCAATCAACGTATAGTTTAATTAGTCTTTTCTTACTTGAGGTCCTTGTTTAGCAGTGGAATCAAAAGGGTCACCAACGGTCCAATCTTTAGCCTTCTCTATTAACTTCTCCACAACCTTATCGTATATACCTTCTTGAACAAACACACGAGAGCTCGCCACGCAAATCTCACCCTATAGACCCACCAAAATTAGTATGATATAACTTATACATATCAATATCACCATTGATTGGTATTAGAATTGGCCATTATGAATACCTTGTTGTAGAAGCAACCGAGAAGCGCAAGATCAGCGGCTTTGTCAATATCAGCGTCGTTGAATATGAGAAGAGGCGATTTCCCGCCTAGTTCAAGGGAAACTTTTTTGAGATTACTTGTGGCTGCGGCTTGCATTATCTTCCTTCCAACATCTGTTGATCCAGTGAAACTAACCTGATCACAACACACATAGAGATTCAAATCAAGATTTCACATATATATGTAACCAACAACACTAGTCACCGCGACTCATAAGAAAATAGATCTTACTTTGTCTATGTCCATATGGGAGGCAATGGCAGCTCCAGCAGTTGATCCAAAACCAGTTACAATGTTGAGCACACCATCCGGAATTCCCGCCTGTTTTATCGCAACAATGTTTAGATTGTTAGGTTTCTATCGTTTGTTACGTATACATTTGCTTAATTACATGTTTAAATAGTGTGTTTTCCTTTTAACAAAACCTAAACTTTTAGTGTTTTAAGTAAGCAAAAGTCTTATATTGTTTGCATTTACCGTTTTTATTTGCGGTTTACAAGTATAATTATGCAAACACATAATTTGTGTTTAAAACAATTTAGGTCTTAATCAAATTATTTTTTATCTATATCAAATGCTAATTAACAAGTTAAAGCTTGAAACTACGGACTTACTTCTTTTGAGAGATGGGCATAGAACAGAGCAGAGAGAGAAGTCTGTTCAGCTGGCTTGACCACCATGGTGCAACCAGCAGCCATAGCCGGAGCCACTTTTGTGGCAAACATAATGCTTGGGAAATTCCAAGGGATGATATTACCAACCACTCCAATAGGTTCTTTGAGGGTGTATCCGAACAAAGGTTGACGCGTCATTTTAAGAGTTTCGCCGTGGATTTTATCCGCTGCACCCGCATTGTATCGAAAATGACCGGCTGTGGCAGGAATATCAGCAAATTTCCCCAATTGGAACAATTTTCCACCGTCAACCGCATCAAGTTTAGCCAATTCTTCAATGTTTTGCTCTATTAAGTCTGCGAATTTGTTTATAAGCTTTGCTCTTTCCTGATCAATCACATCCACCAAACTTGTTAAATGAGAAGATTAATCAGACAAATATCACAAAAACGAAAAGAAGAATAGTCACGTCAATAAAAAAGAGAGTAATAGTCCAATCTAAAATTGAAACATATGTACAAGTTACAAAACAATCTTACAAAATATTAAGACAAAGAAAAGAATAGTCACAAAAAGAAAAGAAGAATAGTCACGTCAATAAAGACCAATCTAAAATTGAAGCATACAAGACTACAAGTTACAAAACAATCTAGGAAGAATATGTTATACTAAGAGCATGGGCAGTGGGGCAAGCAGGTGGGTGAGTCTTGGGGTGTAGGTATTAAAAAAACGAAAAAATTGTCTCTCTCTTTACACCCGGGTGTAAGTTTACACTCGGGTGTAACACTTTTTCTCTCTATCTCTCTCTTTCTTTCTCTTTCTCTTTTCTCTTTTGCTTTAAATTATAATACTAAAAAAATACTTACACCCACACAAACACATTTGCCACTGCTGATGGTCTAATATGGGCAAAATGTTTTCGTTAACTACAAAAAGAAAAGAAGAATAATCACGTCAAGAAAAAGAAAAAACAGAAAGAGATTAATAGTCCAATCAAAAATTGAAGCATTCAAGTTACAAAACTATGTTATCAAACTTTAGTTTATTATCAAGAAAGTGAAACTTAAGAATATGTTATGGGTTAAACGTTTTTGTTAACTACATAAAAGTGACACCAAACCACAAAATAAGTCAACTCTCTCTCTTTCCATATCAAAGTTTAATATAAATTGTGTAGCAAATCAATAAGGAGTTTCACTCAAAATAAGACTCTAATAAAATAAAATAAAAAAACATTTAATGACCCACTATGTATAGGACCACATCAATCAACAACACAATCAATATTTTTATCAAAAATAAAATTAAAATCACCAATAATTATTTATAAAAAAAACGAGTAGGTGCAATAAAAAAACATGAGTTTAAGAAGAGACGTACGAAGCCGGTCATGCGAGGCCAAGGACCATGGTCGAAGGCGTGACGGGCAGCTTTAACGGCCAAGTCAACGTCTTCTTTATCTCCTTCAGCTATTTTTGCGATCACTTCACCGTTCCTTGGGTCTATTGTCTCAAACGTCTTCCCTTTTAGCCCAAATAAACCAAAACTAATATATCAATAAACGTCAAATCAAACCATTTGGTTCAATGTTCAAATCATGATTCCTTCTTTTATAGGTAAGTACAAAACATTAGCTTTATCATTCAGGCTTCTCAAAAGAGGAAATAAAATTATGAATTTTGTGGTTGAGAAGAAAAAATTTCAGGGTAGACCAACAAATTCATGTTTTATAGCGGAACATGTTCATTTATTTCCATACAAGCTAATTTTTTTTACTCTTTAGCAATTTTGATTTTTGGACCACTCAATACTCATCCATCGACTATTCACAAAAAAAAAAAAAATCTTTCCAAATGTGTAATATAGAGAAAAGGATTTGAGGAAATTATGTCGATAACTAGAACCAAAATCAGAAAATATGAAGGATCTTTTTCTTTTGTTAAGGTCAACGTTTGTGAAATTGTGAATCAAGAAGTAAGAAGTGAAGTTAAAATAAATATGAGAACCTGAAGCAGCATCAAGAAACTGGCCGTTGATGAAAAGCTTGGTGAATTTGATCTCCGGTAACTTCACCGTCGTGCCTCCGTTGCATTTGCCGTTCTCCATTTATTTTTCTTTGTATATGCTCAAGAGACCGTAGAAGGACAGAGAGGTTATGTACGTATTTATATCGAAGTGTCTCGATTCACACGTCAGCAAAGACAGTGGTGTTTTTTTGTTAAGTAGCTAGGAGCGTGCATGCACGTGAAGACTTACGGGTTTTACTCCGATAATTCTCTTTTGTTGTTTTTTTTTTAACCGAGAAATTTCATGCCAAAATTCATAAGAATCTGAGTTTTCTTACCACTAAAAATATTTAGAGGTGATGAAATTGCTTAATATAAGATTTTTCTTGCCACTAAAGAGAATCGATTCTTTAGTTTTAGACTCACATGAATATTTCACATTTCAAACGGAATTTACAAGCCAACTACCTAACCTAAATCTTTTTTTTTTGTTTGTTTTTTTCTTCTTTTTAACCGAAGAATAAAAGGCCAAAATTCATAAGAATCCGAGTATTATTGCCACTAAAAACGTTTAGATGATGAAGTTGCGAAATATAAGATTTGTCTTGAAACGTATTTTAAAAAATCGATTTTTAGTCTAGACCCACATAAAAACTCCACATCTCAAACGGGAATCACCAACTCTACAGACATCTCTTTTGTTAATTTTTACTAAATTTTAAATTTAAACGGGAGGTAATCAATTTTTGTTATGTTATTATCGTTGTAAATTTTAAATTTGGTAATACCTATATGGTTTTTCTACTGCAAAATTTAAAGATATCAAGTTATTAAACAAAATATCATTTTTGTTAAATACTACTCTATATGTTTCTAATTAATCTAGTTTTTAAGATTTTTAAATATTAAGAAAATCAATTAAAATTTAATTATAACTGCATCATTATTTATGATTATCAATTTTCTATGACTCTAAACCAATAATATTCAGTTATTTTTCTTAAAGTTTACAATTCATCATCATTAACTAATTAAAATGTACGTAGAAAACCTCAAAAGTCTATCTTTTTGAAACAAATTTGTTTTTTTCAAAACTTATATTAGTTAGAAAGAGAGGGAATATTATTTTTGGTCTTGATAAAATATAGAATACGAGTATAAGAATTTAAGGTATAAGAATATATATGTTGCTGATGTAAAAAAAATGATTTAAAGAAAGTATAAATGTTATTTTGGTGATATGGTAGTTAAAATTTTCTCATAAACCACTAATTTTCAGAAATTTAGGTCCTACCATTTTTATTTTTTTTAATTAGATAGGTGTTTGGACTAGGCCTGGGCGTTCGGGTACCCGTTCGGTTCTGGTCCGGTTCCGGTTCTTTCGGTTCTAAAGTTTAAGATCCATATAGGAACCAAATAATTTCGGTTCGGTTTCGGTTCCGGTTCCGGTTCTTTCGGTTCTGAAGTTTAGGATCCATTCAGATATTTTATTTGGATATTTTTAGGTATTTTTGGATATTTTCGGATATTTTTGAGTATTTTTTGGATATTTTAAGTATTTTTTGATATATTTTTCAAATATTTGTTGGTATTTCGGATATTTTTGGTTATTCGATCTAAAAATAACTAATATTTTTAGATATAAACTCATATTTCGGGTATTTTTGGGTACCCGAAATATTTCGGTTCGGTTCGGTTCCGGTTCCGATTCTTTCGGTTTTAAAATTTAGGATCCATTTGAGTATTTTAAAATTTCGGTTCGGTTCTTTTCGCTTCGGTTCCGGTTCGGTTCTTGTGGTTCGGTTATTTTGCCCAGGCCTAGTTTGGACCTAGGCCTTAATCCCCTCCTATGGCACCGAACCAGCATTTGCTAATACCTTATAACATGGCGTAAAACATCACTCGCGTAACTTAACGTCTTCATTGTGACCCAATATTGTTACCACTAGCGGTATAAACTCACATAATTCCACATTCGCCTAATTCGACTTTAATACTACTATTTGTAATATTTGACCGTTACCGTTTGCGGGACAAATCATTTTTTTTGAATGTTCTCCTCATTCATTATTATCTAAAACTTATTATGTTTACCCTAAATCTAATAAATTTACTGTTGCAATTTTTGATCTTTTTTTTAATCAAAATTTTCATTTAACTTTCTAAGAGTTGAATATCAATTGTCTTATATATCCAACAACTTGAATACAATAACTTTTTTTTTTTTATTGTCGAAAGAATACAATAACTTAGATGTGGTATTTGGTTCCCCGTCTACATCGGTCATCGATGGCGTTATTCTAAAATTATTTTGAATGTTCAAGAAACGAGTTAAATTGTTTTTCTTTGTCAAATAATGTGTTTTTGTTTTGTTGAAATGTATACAAGTTACAAATTACAAGATCTGCTGCCACAGCTTTGAGCCATGCATCTTACCTAAATATAAATACATTATTCAATATTTTCAATGTTCTTTTTCTAATAACATTATTCACAAATCACAATCGAACGTTCTTTAGATAAATGTACTAGAAACTTATCTTTCAGGATTGTATATCACCTCTTATCTATTAATTAAATAGCTATGAAAGATAATTTTTAGTATTTTATGAACAAACGAAAAGTCATACAAAAGTTGATAATTTAGATCTAGATATTATAGAATTAATTAAGTATTATGTTTAAACCACTCAATTATAATAAGGCATATTTTATGATTTAAAATGGGTCAACGCTCCAACTGTTTATGGCCAATTTTAACAAACAAAAAAACAAAGTTTAGAAATTTTTAATTGCAAAGAAATTAAATGAACCAATGATTTTGTATAAATCTTTGACTTATAATTTATAAAATCAGCAAAAAATAAAATAATGTGGACGTCAGTGATAGGTCTATATATCTTTCAATTTATACAAGATCATTGGTTCATTTAATTTCTTTTTTTTTTTGTTTCCCTTAAACTCATAAAATTTAGAAAAATAATTATAACTTAGTTTTTGAAATAAACTATTTTTCTAATACATTTAGAGGTAAACGGCGGTCATCCCATTCCGTTCAGTAGTTAGAAGCTTACGTATGTGACAATTAAATTCTCGAAAAGTTTCTACAAATTCAAAAGAAAAAAAAAGAGAAGAAAGAGTTATATATAATTAGTTTTTCAGAGAAAGCAAATCAGTTTTTCAGAGATGCTAAAATTATGGATGTAGAATGGGTGTAGGTATGGCGTGCCAATCGTTTTGGACACCCATCATACAAATGCGTAAAAACTCTTTTAAATTTTGTTCCATCTTATATTTATGTTTAATCGAGCAATTCAGGATGAGAGATTGATTAATCTTTTATAGTATTATTAAATTCAACATTACCTTATGAGTTCCAAACATAATGAACCCTTAGCTAAAAAAGATGACACACAATAAAATCAAATAAAGTCATCAACGTATAGTTATATTAGTGTTAAGTATATATTTCTTATGTCTCATATGAGATTTTAGAGTCTGATTGAATGACTTAGTCAGAGTAAAGAAAATACGAAGAAAAGTAATTACGCTAAATTTCACTGGAATTCCATAAATTCAAATAGAAAGAAAAAAAAATGTTATTATTCTCACTTTGGTCGAAAACGTAGAAAAGATGAGTAAATATATTATTTACCTTTCAAAAGTTAAGAGTAGGAAATTAGGCCAGAAATTGGGCGATGAAGTGTATGATTGGAACCGACAACCAAGATGTACCTTTTTATACAGACTGTTCAAACCTGGTGAAGATGGTGTCTTTGCCAACCGAATGGCCGGCCTTTTCAGTGTACTTGGAAAATTTCAAGAGCGTCATTATCACTAATCCCTCGAAGTGCAAATGTAAAAGCGGATAACTTGGCACGAAAAGTTCGTACCGAACCGCATCATATCACTTATGTAAACAATATTCCTCATGAATGGTTTTTTTGAATTTTAATTAAAAGTTGTTTACAACCAAAAAAAAAAATTAGGCCAGAATTGAAATTTCTTTTCAGCTCTTTGTTTTTTTTTTTTGTGTTTTCTTCCATTCCCAGTAGTTTACTCTAATTTTATACCAAGTAGACCTTTATTACTCAATAAATAAAGAAAAAGTTGTACATCTAAATCGAAAACTTTCAATTAAAAGGAAAAAAAAAACATAAAATTAGAAGCAAAGAGAAAAGCAAATTGAGACCATTTGCCTTCAAACCATCGAGCCATGAGATCCCATGATCTCAATGGTGTGGAGTTTCCCCAAAAATTCTGAATATTCAATAATAGTAGTATAAACATGTGTTTGCTTCTAGGAAATAATTATAAATTCCATATTTGACAAAAGAATAAGGCTATGCACATCAGCAAATAATCTGAGTTTTTAGTCTAGTGTATCATCCTATACTATTATTTGGGGAGTACAATTTATGGATTACCCTTAATTAACCTTTCCCTTTGTAAGAATTTACTTAAGAATGCCATTAGAAATAAAATTTTATAGAGTAAATTAATTCAACTCATTAAGGATAAACAAGTCAAATACTATTTTATGCAATTTAATTAATTTAATTTAATTATAAAAACGAAAATATATTATTAATTTCTTTAAAAAGAATGACCAGTCAAAATGAACATATAAGATTTGATATCTAACTTACCATATTAATTTGTTATTAATCATTATACTTCACCTCTCATCTTTATATGATTCTATTTCTATAAATAAATAAATCATTATATCATCTATATAATAAAAAAAAGTAAATTTTTTTCCGCATATACCAAAATTTGAATTTTTAAAAACGAATATAAATTATTCAATGTATGAAAGAACAAATTTAACGGGTCAAAAATTCATATTTGAGTAATATATTCCTTTTTCTTTAATATCATCAATACTTAATAGATCAAAAATTTATGAAGTATAAATACTCTAATTTGATTTTTTGAAACAAATATTTATAATAGGCGGCGGGTTGAATATAATATATTATATGATGAAATGAGTTATGATCCTTATAACTATTTGAATATTTATATTTAATTTCATATCTTTTTTTTTAAATTCATAATTTTACATAATACAATAAAAATTTTAAAGATTTTTAATATTAATTTTAATATTGTTCAAACAATATTAATT